TGATCACACACCAGGTTGCCACACGTCGCCACACCCTCCACTTGCTACGCTCATCACCCCTCTCTTCTGATGCTCTCTACATAGTGTACACAACACTGCCTGCAACACGAGCTGGTGTACAGTGTGGGGGAGCGAGGGAAGAGAGGAGTTAGTGTAGCAAGTAGGAGGTTAGTTAAGGTGAGTGACACCACGCCTATGTGTCTCCCTGTCTGGGTCCACCGCTCGCCTCTTCCCCCCCTCCCCTTCCTGCTCTCCTCCTCCCTCCCTCTTTCGCCGCCCCTCCCCCCCTCTAGTTCACTCAGCTGCCGATCACCCCCACACTTCCCCACCCACGCCGCTCAGCCTGGCCCCGCTCCCTCGGCTCATTAGGGCTTCATTTGTGCTTCCATGGTTGAGGGTGACGCCGGGGGTCCTGGGACATGGGTGGGGGTGGGGGTGCAGGGGCGTCCTCCAGATCGTTAGTGGGGTAAATGTTAGCAACACCTCGAGTTGGTGGATAGTGTGGGAGGCACCGCGTCATTATCTTCCCGGGGACCGCCAGTCCTTCGCTGTTACGGAGGTCGTCCAGGACCCGTGCGCCTCCAGCCCTCCCTCCACCTCACCTCCTGCTCTCTGTACTCCAACCTCCTTTTGTCTACCCTCCACAGTTTCTCTGCCCTTGTTGTTTATGATGATCAAACTGAGACAGCGTGTGCGTGTCTCAAGTCCTCCTACCAGAGCCGTCCATCTTCGTGCCTCTGTCATTGCCTTACTTGACTTTTGTTTGAGATACTTCTCTTGTCTTCTTAAGCTGACCACTGAGTGCGTCTACCAGTTACTGTTGGTGCATTAGTATACTTAAGGGATACTACCTGTTGTTCGCCAGTCACAGGTGAGAATAAATCAGATCCTTGCGCGCGTGTGTGTGTGTGTGTGTGTGTGTGTGTAAGGTGGAGATGGCTTTTATTTATATTAAAAGGTTGTTGGTGAGCGGGTGCTGGAGGCCCACCCTCCCCCGCCGTCTGGGTGAGTTACTGAAGAGGTGAAGGTCCACCTTTTGTTGGGCTTCAGGTGGTGATGGCGGCCGAGATGGGGGACAACACACTTCCCTCCCTCCCTCCTTCTCCACCATCCCTCCCTGCTACCTCCCCCACATACCCTTGCCTGTCCAACTCCTGTCTCCGGGAGTGTGGTGGTGGCGGCGGGCGGTGGCCTTGTTATACATGTAACCAACGAGCGTCATTCCACACTTGTCACTGAAGGTTATTCACCCATTACCTTCAATTGTCTCCACTTCCTCCTTCCTAAGTACCTTGATTTTTAACATCTCTGGGAAGAAAAGGAGGAGGTGTTGTGTGTGTGAGAGAGAGATGAAGGTATTCGGTGCAGGGAGTGTTGAAGGAGGGTGGTGTTGTGTGAAGGCGGGGGAGGAACGTGTGCTGTGGATGTCTCGTGCGTGTTGGCGTGTGTACAGTTAGGAGACGAGGCTGGTGGTGGTGGTGGTGGGTCGCTCGCCTGCCTAAGGGTGATCTTACCAGCACCACCACCAGCCTCCTCCTCCTCCTCCTCGTGTGTCCTGGAGCTGATTGCTTGCCTTGGGTAGCTTTCATTCTTGTGGCCACGCGCTGTCTCTGTGACGGGTCCTGAGTACCCCTGCCGGGCCTCTCACGGGTTCTGGCTTCATACACCTATTGTTGCTGCATACAACCTGTTCTTCTCTTACACCTGCTGTAGTATACAACGCGTGATTCATACACCTACTGTAGTATGCAAGATGACCTTCTCACCCTCCTGCTACTTGAGAGCGTGTGTGCGTCAAGAAATACAAGAGAATCATTTATTAAGTTATGCGAGATACGTGTGATCCCCTTCAGCTATTGGCTAGTGACGTCATAGAGATTAGTGGACGGTTCCTTACGGGAAAACCAAAACAAATAACAATAAATTGATAATAACGAAATGCGAATAATAATTAATGACACAATAAGAAAAGATCAGGAAGTAAGTCACAATGAATGATAATCAGAAAAATAAGAAATGATGCAATTAGATCCACCAATAATTAGTGTAGTGTGATCCGTCTTAAGGCAAACAATAATAACTTGACTAATCCGATACCACAAATGTTTACCACTTAACTGTAGTCTTGTTAAGTCATTATAAGTGTAAATTTATGTTTCAGTTTAAGTGAAATGTTAAAATGGTATGAATTATATAAACATTGGATCACCTGAAGAATTGTCACCCCAGAGTTTGGCAGGGTGACAATTCTTCGGGTGCGGTCAGGACCCTCCATGGTTAGGTTAGGTGTATATGATTCTTTTTTCTTTTTTAAACTTTTTGCAATAAAGATGCATAACACAAAGGAATATATTTATGTTATCCTAAATATACAAATTATATTCACTGTGGGCTGGGGTGACGATTCTTCTGGTGGAGCAGGCTGGGGTGACAATTCTTCAGGTGGGATATCCTGGGGTGACGATTCTTCAGGTGGACATTCTGGGGTGACAATTCTTCAGGTGAACATTCTGGGGTGACAATTCTTCAGGTGATCCTAAACATCTATTGACCTAATGTTTGGGAAATGTTTGAATGTAAATAACAATGTTAATGGTTGTAATTGTTAGTATTTTAGGTGATGTTATGGCTGTCACTTACTAGACTTGAGAGACGAGATTGGAAATAGGTTTTGATGGTAGGCTAAGGGTGTGGTAGGGAGGACGGTGTGGGAGGAGAGGGGGAGAGAGGTAGGCACACTCTTCTACCAGCTCCCGACATACACACACCACCACCACCGTCACCACCAACCAACATTCTCCTCTCCTCCAACTGAAATTAGTAACTGGAAATTTCAACCCATTACAGGATATTCATGGCCTTGGTAACACATTTTAATAGTTATTTTTTCAGATAATTTAGTTGTTTGTAGTGACGGAGTAAACCTTTATTTTGTTATGGTGTTTACCGAGTGTTTCCGGGAGACGCTACTTGGGTGGTCGGTCGTGAGGTAGTAGGGTTGTACTGGACGCTGGGCTCACGACTTGATTCCTTCATTTCGTTTCGTTTAGTTTCCGATATGAATCTTTCTGTTGACTTTTAATTATCAGTCAAGTGGGGGTTACTCGTACTGTTGAAATCGAGTTTGTTTAGTCTGCATCTCTTGAAAAGCACCTGATGAATACTGTATATTTATCTCGAGGAATTTATTGAATAACATCGTGATTCCTTGACGTTCATATCGTTTTAACTTCCTTTAGATTTTTATGACACACTGTAAGCAGTAAGTAAGGAGTCTTATTTGGGTTATGGTGAATGTATCTTGTGTAGGAAGGAGCTCTGGCCTCTAAATGATTCACTGTTGACGAGCTTTAACTCACCCTGCCGTCACTTTCTCGGTGTGGGGGACCATTGTGTAAGGCGGCGGGTATCAGTATCAAGGTGGCTCGCGGGAGTGTGGTGGAGTGTTTAGCTAACGTCGTCACTGACCCACAATCTTCACACATTATAGTGGAGCAGGAGCTTTAAGTAGCTGTGGGGGTGGGGGGTGTATGAATGTTGGGGGAGGGTCGCGAGGGAAGGCAGTGGGGTGACAAGTGGGGAGGGAGCCTTGAGGTGTTTAGTTTTGGGGAGTGGGGGACGAGGAGCCGCCGCTGGTGCTAGGCTTCTGTTGTAGTGTTGTAGAGGACCGGCCCTCCCCTCTCCCATCTTTCTCTCACTCCCTCCTACTACCTCCCCCGCCCCCACCCTACCCCGTCTCTCATCCCCCTCTTACCCCAATAACACTCGCCTCACCTCGCTTACCCCTGTAACACCTCACACTCTTGTTGGTGTGTGGAATGTGGACGTGTGACAGCCTGCAGAGGAGAGAGAGGGAGGACGGACGGGTGCTGGTGGGCGGGTGGGTTGTTGTCACGAGGTTCGTTAGCTGTGTGGGCGTTGGAGGTGGGTAATGAAAACTCGGACGAGGGACTGTATGTATATAGATGGTGGGTGGTTTCCTCTGGGCCTGAGAGTTTGGCTGGTGAAGCACTAGAGAGCAGATAAGATAATGCTTTGTTGTGTTGCCTTATCAACAGTGACTCCACACCCTCTCTCACACCTTGCACAGTTGAATCCACTTTGCAGTCATCAGGCGGAGTCACTGGCTAGTCTCCTACAAAGCTTTTTAAGTTTATGAGAGTTTTGTTCGTCGATCAGCGAAAACTTTTGGTATTTAGGGAGTAGTTGTGCCGCGTCGAGTCGTGTCCCCCAGGTACTTGGTGAGGTGACGATGGGTTATCCACACAGAAGAGAAGACAGCTTTGTGTACAGTGGGTCGTGGGCCACTGGGCGTGAGGCAAGTGTTTCTCATGAATGATGCAAGTGGAGTGAACAGGAGTAAACAAGATAAATAGCTGGACTATTACTGGGTAGCTGGTAGAACAAGACACCTCTGCCAGCTTTAGTCCAGCGACCGTGATCGAAGTTGTAACAAGATCGGCGTCATGACTTGGCTAAAGTTGCCTGCGTATTAGTGTGTGATGGATGTGTTGTATAGTAACTGTTAACAGTGGCATCACTTGGCATCTATAAAGTACACACAAACTAGACCCATCAGAGTATGACCTTTGTTAGCACTACGTTACCACACTTAGGTCAGATCAGGTCAGGTTCATCTCCCGCCCGACTCACACTTGTGTATGATTAAACGCCCTAATGCGACATAGGTTGTTATGTGGTGTGTAGTAGATGAGGATGTTGGTATCGAAGCTAAATTAATATAATTTTCTGTTTCGTGTTGTGGTATACGCTGACTGGTGGTGGACGTCTCGCGAGATAACAGTTTGTTTAGTACTGTACTTTAATTACTAATGTTAAAATGGCCTTTCTTATGATTTTTGTTATATTTATTATATTGAGAAACTGTATGTACCATGCCACCCTCTTATATTATTATTATTATTATTATTATAACACTTTAATAGCAGTGAAGAAACATGTCTATGGTAGAAGGGACTGACACTTGTTGTTGTTTACAGGTGGGGCGAGCAAGATGGTTGAGCGGCGGTGTTGGCGAGGCCTTGTGAAGATGGCGGCCCTGGAGTACACTCCCCCAGTGCTGGTGTTCCCTCGCGAGCCTCCCAGGTTCCCCCTGCCTGCCTAGGCCGGAGATCCAGGCTCCGGCTGACTCTGCCTCTCTGCTGGCTACAGAGAGATCTGCCTACTTCTGATTCCACGCGCTAGCTCTTCCTGCTGGCCACGCCGGCCAAGAATCGTCCGAGTGTGTTTCTCTAATCATGTAATTCTGGTGTGGCCTCACTTGGCTGGACTCGTTCAACCTTCCTCACTCACAATGTCGGACTTATGAACTCTTCATGGATAGAGAATATCAAATTGTAAAAAGTAAATATATACATATATACACATATATATATATTTATAAAATCTGCCTCAAACCTGAGAAAGGTTGAGGGTGTGTAAAACAAGGATCTAAAAATAGAGTAAAGTTATTTAAGACTACCAGAACATCGGTGGTTGGCACGCGCTAATTCCGCTCTTTCTTCTTCCCACGCGCCCGTAGAACTTTTAACGCTTGGTCAAAGTGCAGTGTTTTAAACTGGCTGTTGTTGTGGTGCTCCCGTCATTCCGCCACAGTGGCAGGGGTGGGCGGGGGCACGGCGCTGGCTGGAGGGGCAGGCCCTGATAATATGGCCGACTTCCAGCAGGGCCGACAAGTTGTTGTTGATCGCCTCAAGCGACGCCTAGGACACTACCGTGAGAACCACGACTCCGTCACCAGCCGATTCGATACGACCATCGAAACGGTGTATGCCGACCAGCAGAAACAGACGATCCTGCTGAAACAGAGACACATAGAGTCCAAGGCTAAAAAGACGAACAAGAAAAACACAGATAATAAGAAACAGGACAATTCATCTTTATTGGCCACAATGGGGGTAAGTCCCTTGAAACGAGTCAAATTTTTGTGGTGAATGAATATATTGGCCTGTGTTCCCATTCATGTTTTATACAGTGATAATATGCATACGTAATATTATAAACTAAGTGAAGTGTTAGTAAGGTAGTTTATTGTGAAAACTTATCTCTCTCTCTTATATTTAAACATCCCCTAATTATACTCTCTCTTTTATAGAGCATGCATTAAGCACACCAATACGGTACTCTAATTATCTCTCTATCTTTTATATATCATGCATACATTACACATACTTGTCATACTTGTCTATCCCTTGCTGGTAGGGTGTTAAGTGTACATTACAGTATTTGTCATTCCGGTGGGTATGTTTGTCTCCTGTTTCTGAGTCATGATATAATTTATCAGAGAATTTTGTTACTATTAAGATAATTTTGTTTGTTATTCGTGTTTTAATGAGTGTACTGGCTATTAAAGATAATAGCACATGTACTGTATATCTGTACCAGTATATTGATTACCATTTTTTTTAATAAGTTTTGTTGATTTTTTAATTTAACATACACGTCTTATTACAGCAATCAAAGATGCTAGCCCGTGGGCACGACCAGACCACGTCGTCTGGCGAGACCCACGAAAATGAACCCGCCGCCAAAAAGCAACGGCTGAACAATGGTGCTCCACCTCATGGTGGACCCATACATGGCACCCCCTCCCACGGTGGTGGTCCTCACGGCGGGCCTCCACATGGGGGTCCCATCCATGCTGGTGCATCACAGTCCAGTGGAGCAACAGGGGACATCAATGACTTCCAGATGGTGCAGCAACTTCCCAGTATAAAAAAGACAGATTCCCCTGTGCCTACAGGTGCAACTACCTCTGCCTCTAATGGCCCTGCTATAGAAGATGTTAAGAAGGAACAGCAAGACCTAGACATTACTCTTCTTGATGACATCGAAGACTTTAGTAACATTGGTGACATTGAAGACATGGGAATCAATTTTGATCAGTTTATGAGTGATCTAGACTTTGACAATATGAAACAAGAAAATAGTAATTCTGGTTTGGGTGACTTTGTAAAAGAGGAATCCGTAGACAATTTATTTGATAATGAACCCTCTAGTGTAAGTAGTGACAGTGGTGTTGCAAGTGGGAATGCCAATGCCCAGAGTCCCCAAGTAGCCATGAGTAAGGCAGGTGGCACATCCACCACCTCAGCCTCTCCTGTGTTTTCACAATATCCGGGAACTCCCCCAGTGTCTCATACCTCCACCCCACCTACCTCCTTCACCCCCACCTCATTCATACCCACCTCCACCTCTAATACATCTGGCTCCCCAACTCCATTCTCTGCTACCAGTAGTGTGCCAAAATTACGTATGAGCATGGGTCAGTCGGACATGATTCCTGCTGCCCAGACTCTAAAACAAATGGCTGAGCAACACCAGATCAAGATGGTGGCTACTGGACCTAATAACGTTCGGCCAGGGTTTGCTGACTATCAATTAAATAACATGAACAACCCTGCAGGCCCTGGCATGATGGCTCAAACAGGGAGCATTAATAATCAAATGTACAGTAGTAACATGAATCAAACAAATGCCATCTACAACAATCAAAATAATGGTATGAATGAAATGGAAATGAAAAAGCGTCAGCAATTAATACAACAACAAATGGCACAACAGCAGCATCATCAGCAGCAGCAACAGCAGCAGCAGCAACAACAACAGCAGCAGCAACAACCACAGCAGCAACAACCACAGCAACAACAGCAGCAGCAGGCCCAGCAACAACAACCGGGGGCACAACAGCAAGCACAGATGCCCGGGGGAATGGTGCCCTATGCAAATCGTATGTCACCCATGGCCTCTTACTCCAATTCTTCACAGCCTGGAACCCTCAACCCTCAACAATATCAGATGGCTGGAGCTATGGGTACGGGCGTAAGGGGTTCTTATCCTGGAGGACCCCGGGGTCATTCACCCATACCACCAGGGTCACAGGCAGGAGGACCTTCACCCATGACTGCTGGGGCACAGGTAAATAGTATATTTCAGTATGCAAATTATCTGGTTTCTAACAGGTTTTTGCATTTAAATAGAAAAAAAATAGAGATTGAATGGAATGGCCAGCACAGAGCAAAGTCTCTTTTTATATTTATTTCAAATTTGTAGTTACCATATTAATCAATTTTGCAAGTCCTGATGAAATTAATTTGTATTTCTGTTGTAGAATTGGTATTTGTATTACTGTACAGTCAACAGGAGAAGTTCGTCCCAACCCACCTACATGATCTGAGGCAGGCGATCTGCGAACACTGTATGGGGGAAGAGTTGACACATATGTTTTAACTGACTAGTTATTTTAGGATTTTGTGATTGGAGATTGGCTAAGAATACATTTTTGTATAGAACTTAAATACTGTAGTGTAAATACATAAAATGTAGGAAAACAATTCAATTACTTTTAAATGAAAATATCATCAAGCATGAAAAATACTCGTTGACATCAGCAGTACGGATACTTCTTATTCCCCAGTTATGATCCATTGATACTATTTAAGTCTGATCATAAATCGTAAATAACTAGTAATATGTAGCATAGCTGTCGCCTCTTCCCCCATACAGTGTTACCAGATCACCTGCCTCATATCATGCAATTGGGTTTGGATGAACTTCTGCTGTTGGCTGTACATTACAACTGACCATTAAACATGATTTAATTTTCTAAATTTCATCTTTAATACTGTATCAGTAAATTTAGTTTATACATTTCTTTTATGGAATGCTTTGTAGTCTTATGTAAGTTCCCCTTTTTTTTCCATTTTGGTGAAACCGATGTTATTTAGTACTAATCTAGACTGGGTTACCTGTCCTTCCCTGACAGCTGGGTGGTCAGATGGGAGCAGATGGCAAAATGAGTAATGAGATGTTCTACCAGGGCCAGATGAGTGGGCAGTATGCAATGAGCCAGCCACAACCCCCACGATATCCTGGCCAACAGATGATGGGACCAAACACCATGATGCGACACGTGAATCCAGCGGGCAGTCAGATGGTGGGACAGGCCAACCAGATGATGTCTCGTCCTCCTCCTCCTGAATATCGGCAGGTGGCATTATTACAGCAGCAGCAGCAACAGATGATGGGTCAGCCTATGCCTCAGCCAATGGGCCAGATGGGGCAGAACATGGGTCAGATGAGCTACCCAGGCATGAGACCCAATATGAGACCCAATATGGTTAGTGGTCCCATGGTCAACATGATGGGTGGTATGACACAACAAACATTACCCCCTAATATGCCCACCATGAAGCCTCCTGGTATGGTTCCTACCACTACCATGAATCCTTCTTCTAGTATGCCCAGTAGCACTATGACAGGGGCTACCATGCCTACCATGAGTGTGGGCACTATGTCAGCCAGTAATATGAATAATAGCTTAGGTCAGGTGAGCTCAGCAGGTTCCCTGGGTATGGTTAGTCGCACGCCCATGCCCAGTGCTGGCATGTTACAGCGACCCAGACCACCTAATGTTAACATTGGGCCAGGACCTGGTGGACTCAACATTGGAACGCAGATGCCGCCATCGAGACCAGAATGGCGGCAGATCATGATGCAGGGAGGTCAGGGTAACATGCAGATGATTGGACCAATGAGGGCAGGATATCCCCAACAGCAGCCACAGCAAGGTAGGCACAAGCATATGCATTGTCCTGTACACTATGATAATGAATGTCCTTCATTTATGTTGTAATAAATCTTTTGTAATGTTGTACAGGGCTCTGAATTTGAATTATTTATAATGAATTGAATAATGCTGCCACTGTATTATACACTAGTGTATTTATTTTTTTAAATTTTTAGATAGTTACAATTAATGTGAATATGTACAGTAACTTATTTATAGACATGGCAGTCCTTAAGTGATGGATATTCTTTCATTTAACCTATTGGCAAGTAGCACATTAGGAGGAAATAAATATGAAGTGAAAAATTCATCTGTAATTGGTGTGTGCTTCATTGGTAGAATTTTTTATTGTAACCGACTTGGTTCTCGTCCTATTCAGGTGCCATGATGGGCCAGGGCGGTCAGATAATTGGGATGCAACGGCCACCCAGTCAGATGATGAATATCATGGCAATGCAGCAAGGCCCATCTATGCAAGGTGGGCCTGGGATGCAGGGCACACCAGGTATGCAGCCGGGACCAGGTATGCAGCCTGGTCCTGGTATGCAGCAAGGGCCTGGAATGCAGCCTGGTCCTGGTATGCAAGGTGGACCAGGAATGCAAGGAGGACCAGGAATGCAAGGCGGACCTGGTATGCAAGGAGGACCAGGAATGCAAGGCGGACCAGGAATGCAAGGCGGGCCCTCTATGCAAGGAGGTCCAAGAATGCAAGCTAATATGGTTGCCTTGACCCAGCAGGGCCAGGTATGGATACAACAACATAAAGTTTTGTAGTGAAAGTAATCTTCTCTTTGACTAATATTTAGACAGACTCTGATTAACAGACCATCCCATAAACAAGAACATTAAATTTTTTTTATATAAACAGTTGATTTTAATTTTTTTGCAAGTTATTTAGAGGATCATGGAACATATCACAATTTGTTGATGACTTTGTCTCCTAATGGGATTGTGGAGACTAACAGAAGTGTGAGTAAAAGAGCTGCAATTGGACTCGGTAGACGTGAACACTACAAAATTCCTTATATTTCTGTGGTGATACATTTCTGGAGGTGGTGGTGTATCGGCTCCATGTATAATGAAGTCTTATCCCCCTGCCCTCTTCACCCCCCCCCACCAGTTCCCTAAATTAACTTGTAAAAAGAAAGCTATGATTACATAATGGTATGGTGTCCTAGTTGCCATCATGCACTAAGTTAAAAATGGAGAATTTATTTGTGAAACCTCATTTTATAACTAAGCTGGCAGTTAAGTGACCCTTGTAACCCTTTTACCTTGGGTAGTAGGAGTTAGACTAGAGAGGTGAGGGTCTGTGGCAGCAAGCCAGTCTGGCCGACTCGCAACAATCTGACTGATATGATGCCGCTAATACTTAATGTATCGTGATTGATTGTCCTGCTAGACTTCTGTAGGTTTTAAACAGTCATCTGGTGTGTGCGTTCAAGTACGAAGTGTTATTTTAGGTATCTGTCCTCCATTTCTTAATTTATGTACAGTCGGGGTCAAAAGTCTTGAACACTTGACAGTATTTGGCATGTAAGTACCCAAAGAACTTAGGTATTAAGGAGAGTTTTATCCTATTTTGTGGTTCAGGCATAATATGTGATGACAAGTAGTGTTATTAGTATATCCCAATCATATATGTATAACTCACAAGTAGATGCCAGATATTGCTAAGTGTTCAAGACTTTTGACCCCGACTGTGCATGTGTAATTTTTTCCAACATCTTTGGTGGTATAGAGAATTTTCACCCTAATAAACATTATCTGTACTGTACTTAGCCATGTATTATGTAGCAGGTGACATAGATATTGAATTGTGAACTAAATCACAAACTGAGAAATGGAGAGGTCACTGTACACACTTGTAAGGTCTTGAGTAATACCCATTTTATTGAAGCTTGGTTCAGCACACACGGTGACATATGATACAACACATGTACATTTGTTCTGGAAGTAGAGTCAAGCGATTATTGCTCATGTTTGTTTTTCCAACTTCTAATTTAATGTTCTTCTTAAAAATGGATCCAAATTGTTTATGGGATGGACGTGTGTATTGTAAAGTGTACATACAGTACAGTACTGTTATGGTAGTTGACTCTTTTGGACATTGTGTACTTAGTTGAAGCACCAATAGCACAACAGTATTGTCATCTAATATACTGTATTATTGTCACAAAAGTTGTCTCTGTAATGAATAGTGTAATGTTTTACATAATTATTGAATTTGTTAGCTTCTGTAATGTGTTATTATTTTGGGCAGATTTTTTTTTCTGGAACACATTAATACAATAGGTCTGTTTATGCTAACATGTGAGCTTACAACTCAGTGGCCTCTCATTCACACATCTGAAGGTTCTACAGGGTTCTACACACACACACACACATATATATATATATACACTCCCTTACAGGTTTTCATGGAAATTGCAAGAACACTTGCTTTGCAACAGCAATGTTGTCCTCACTTATTGATGTGTGAGGGTCTCCCACATGTGGACAATATTGCTATTGTACTACAAGAATGCATGTGATCTCCAAGGAAACCTGAATGACAGTGTGTATACATTTGTCTTTTAATTTGTTTTCACTTATTACTACAAAGATGTTTAGTAGTTAACTCTAAAAACACTTAGATGGTTAACTGAAAAGGCAGCATTTAAATGCCTTAAGGGGAAAGACATTTAATTATGTTAATTGTACACATATTGTACGTAGATGTGTGACTGCAAAGACTTTTAAACATGTAAGTAAAGACACTTTACCATCATTGTCTATGAACAAACAGCCAACCTTGTCACCGACAGTAGCTCTCCTTAAAGATGCGTGTGCTAACACCTGTCCCAATGAATCTTGACTTTGAGTTATTAACTACAGTACATTTAGTATAAATATATCTATTAAGATAGTATAAGTGGGTACTAGAACCTTGTTGAAGGATTAGCCCGATACAAACTTTTCCTTCCTCCATGAAGGCCTTATTCCCACTGTAGGGGTGATGCATTCTCAAACTCCTCTCAGGTCATTGTTGTTCATATCTATTTTGGTATTTCTCATGGGGGTGTAAACATTATCTGCCGAGCAGACTTGATTTCCTCAAAAGGAAACCAGTGTGAGCTACACGAGACACTCGGATCTACCAGTGAAATTATTTTTAAGATTTTTGGGGTATTTTTATTGGATCTGGGCACTTAAAGGTGGTTTGAGAATGTTTGTCCCTCAATGCTTTGGATTCATGTTGGAGTGGTGAGGGGTACTGTATTATGTAGTCATAAATATAAGTACACGTATAGGTTAGAAGTACTGTATAGTACAGGTAGAAAGGTAAGGTATTTTCTTGTTCTGCAAGTAATAAACTAATTTCATTATATCATTTTGTGTTATATATGACTTAAGTAGATCAGTAGGATTTATTAACAAAAGTTTGGGTACTGTCATTAAAAATGATAAGTTCTTTACTTTTCTAAAGGCAGGCCAACTGTGAACATAGTCTGTTTTCAATACATTTGGAGTAAGAACAGCACACTAACTGTACCTGATGGATATTTTATGGCCAAAAATTTCCTCTGAAGGATTTACATAACTTCAGGTGAAGTAGTTAAAAGTTCATAAAATATTTCACAGACATACAGAATAGCTGCTGTTGAGGATGTTATCTGAACCTAGTTTATCTTGAAGTCATCATCTGTACATTCACCAGTGTTAAGGACTGCTACATTGTTTCTACTCTTATGGTCATGTTTTAGATCACTTGAAGTCAGTCCATTCTGGTTTTGTCACTACTGTATCAGGTGTCCAGAGAAAGACTTAGCTTTCTTCTTATGTGAAATGTGTTCTTTAGCATTGGCAGATATATGATGCCTCCAAGATAGACAAAGGTTTGGATTTTTCATTGATGCCCTACCATTGGTCATACATGAGAAATAAAGAACTTATCTTGATGTTACAGGCAGAATCAGCCAAGATACAGCAGACAGCTCTTTCAAGTGTCAAAAAGGTAACAATACAGTTGGTAACATACGTGTGCTAGATCAGAAATGAGTTTTCAGTTCTAGCAATGCTTAATATAAGAAATCTGCTGCTTACAATATTCATGACTACATGTTGCCATTGTCCTTTCCACAAAACCATTTGCTAATGTCATTCAGGTTTATACCCCAAAATTTTTCAGGAACTCTAAAATATGATTTAGTAACCGATCAGTGGGATAATTTAATTGGGGGATATTGGATAGAAGAAAACTTTGGATACTAACTGAAGAGGGAAACCCTGACTGGGGTAGTGTTTTATCACCATGTATCAAGCACTAGAAATATAGTGTGGATGTGAACCTGCCCAGAGAATGATTGTTAGCAGAGGCAATATATGGAGTGACAGCATGAGTGAAGTAAGCGAGTTGCTCAGAGAGGAACCTATGGAGGTGAGCTTACAGCGTGGAATATTGCTCAGTTGCTTCTGCATCCTGATATAGTGATATGTTGAGATGGCAGTATTTGTACTGTACAGGTTAATTACTTAAATAAGAGAGTTTGGTAGAGATTGTATAAAGGTGTTGTATCTTGCTTTATTAACACAATGACTGTCATGCATTTTGATATCTCTACTCAACATGCTGGGACTACTAGAGTCATGTTCAGGATGCTCTGTTTCTCACTGTAGAGGCTAATGAAGGTGACGATGAACTCTGATCTGTGGCTGTACTGCAGTGTTTAGTACTACTTGGCACCTGGGATCAAACTTGGGCCTCAAATGAATAACCACTAATGATTTACTCCTTATTAGTGATAATGGGGGGGGGGGGTCTTTCAGCTATACATTCGTCAGTTTCAACTGTTGGAATTTTGAATTAATGTTATCTGTAATTTCAGGTACGAATGGGTATACACATGAGCCAGGCTGGAGGTATGGGTGGTGCTCAGGTTACATCTCAGTACCCAGGACAACAAGGGCAGATGACCTCTATGGGACAGATGCCTGCAGGACCTAACCAGATGTTGACCAATCCAGCTGCCCAAGCCAGAAACCCTGCTGCTATGGCTGGTATGCCTGGTGCTCGCAGCCCAGCAGCCATGGCTCAGATGAGTGGAACTGGCCATCCCATGAGTCCTGCCAACAGGGGCCAGATGGGTGGGGCCAGTCCAGTAAACATGGCGCAAATGAGTGGTCCTGGTCAAGCTCCCAGTCCAGCCAACATGGGGGGCATGACACATCCACGGTCTCCCGCTACAATGGGCCAGATGCACCCTCGCAGTCCAGCAACAATGAGTCAGGGTGGACCGGCAAGACCACTGAGCAACCCTGGCATGGGTCAGGGAGGCCCAACACGACCTCTGAGTAACCCGGGCATGTCTCAGCAGCAGGGGCAACAACCAACACAGACATCAGCAGCAGGAGCAGCGCTGGCAGGTCAAGCTCCCGGGAGTACCGCAGGGCCCATGAATCGTGGGTCACCCGGTGGTATGAACCAAAATCCTGGTGGCATGAACCAAAATCCCGGCAGTATGAACCAAAATCCTGGTGGCATGAACCAAAATCCTGGCAGTATGAACCAAAATCCTGGCAGTATGAACCAAAATCCTGGTGGCATGAACCAAAATCCTGGCGGTATGAACCAAAATCCTGGTGGTATGAGCCAAAATCCGGGGGGTCCCGCTGGCCCTCGACCAGGTCAGAGTCCCATGAACCAAGTACAGCCCATTCAGGGTCCGGGCAGCGGTCCACAGGCTAATATGAACATGAGCAGGGTGAAAGGTGGCTCTACATCAGTGAATAGTGGACCTAATGCACCTCAAACCTCAGTGGCTAATCAGAGGCCTGCAAACGATGGTAATAGCAGTGTACGGACATCACAACCATCTACGCCCAACCCACCCACCTCTAGTGGCAGTGCACAGCCAGACTTTGAATTTGACTTTGGTGAATTTGCCTCTTTGATAAACGATTAAGGTGGTTATTGGGCACGGGTTTGGTGCCTCATGTCAGTGCTGTATATATGAAGCATTCCTTTAGAAGTGTTATATAGTGTACAGTCTTAATTATTATAATTATTATTATTATTATTTTATTATTATTATTATGTCGATAATTATCATTGAATGGTCCAAGAATTGCGAGAGAACAAGAGTAATGTAGTGTAATGATGAGGACTTGCCATATCATATAGTCTTACTGCCAAGTATTAAAAACCCCATACCACCACAAGAGAGCAGCTGTGTCGACACCAGCAGGAGTGCTACATTCCATAATCCCTGTACTGGGGCAGAGCTAAAGTCTTCACACTCAGTATGTGGCAACTACAATGTTTTTAGCCAAGCCCATGAGCCATTATTGTATCAACCTTGGAAAGTGAATTGGGTAAAAGACAAAATTATTCATCATGCTTTGCTCATTAAAACCAAAAGACTGAACTGTGATCTGGGATGTAATCCATGGTTGGTGGTGGAGCTGAGGATCATGATCTTGATTGTAAGAGAGGGATGATGTGCCTGAGTAGCCACCATGGGCTTGACATAGTTAGCTGGCTTAATCACATTTCCTCTCCATGACATGGGCCTTGGAGTTCTACTTTTTGTTATTATTATTATTCTCGGTTTTATTTGGTAAATATCGTGTACTAAAGGTGATGCAGAATCTATTGGATGTCTTGTATGGTACCTAATGTTACTTGTATATATGTCAAATATCAGTATATCTTACAAAAGTACATACATAACTCAGATGATTTAGAACTTCAAGGCCCTCTTTGTGCCAAGTATGTGTACAAAACTTATAATTTGTGACGTGAACAAGTTCTGTTTTTATTACAAAGACTGTCCTGTATTGTCAACTGAGAGTGTTGGTATTTATATGCCCCAGCAAGGTGACTGTAGCTGTGTACTCTAATATAGGTGGTTTTGTAGAGTTTTCCTACTACTGTAAATTAGCATCACAAGGAACACACTTTATATTATTTTATTTTATTTTATTTTATTTTTTATTTTACTGGATAGACTTTCCACAACCATCACACTTCCATTTTCTCCTTCCTCAGCCTCCACCATTATCATTACCATCACCATCCCCACCTCCTTGTTTAGTGATGCCATGTGTCCCATAATGCAGTGCAAAGGCACTTGGGAGAGATGAGCTTCAACTATAGAATTTATTGGTTTGAAAATTTTAATATGTAGATATAAAATTTAGAAAAAAAATCCCTCGGCACTAAAGCGTTCAGAGTAATTGTGACGAGATTAAAGAATTGGATAATCATCTCCCGAGCCGTGGTTTACCGCTAGGAACCGAAGTGCAATGGTAAGATACCGAAGCTCAGCATGCCTTATTTTCCACTCGCACACCTCCATCTCCCTAGCACCAGTGGCATTGGACGTGGTAGCTGCGACTTGTGCCGTGTGTCTGGACAGTGATTAGTCACCAGTATTATCTTCAAAACTCCGGCACACTGCACTAGATGCTTTGCCCTGCCAGTCTGCCCGAAACTGTTGTCTATGCAGTATTAGTACCATTGTTTATTTTCTCATATTTGACGAGGATTTTTACCCTGAAGGTTTTTTAGAATTATTGTATTGTAATTACCTTTTCAAAATGTATAAGGGACCAGTTGGAGGATTCATACTTGGCACAGTAGTGTTTTTCTTGCCTGCGTGTGAAGGAGACACTTGTAGCGTGTCTGTGAGCCCAAAAATGTGGTCTAGGTTTCAAAGCTGCTAAGAGACTGATTTTTGTGCCCACAGACACACAGTAGATGCTCAATTTACACTTATAGACTCCTAAAACATTATTTTACCAACTTTGAATCCCTGAACTGGGCCCTTGAAAAGATTTGGAGATGTAGGCATGAAGAAGCTTCACTTTAACACTGGAAAGAAACACAAAACTGTAAACTATTTTTATATATGACTTGTGCAGCATAGGACAAGAAAGACATTGTGCTGAACCTGCAACATTGCATCATATTCCTGTCATAGAAAAAATAATAGATTCTGTTGGTTTATGCCGTACATTTCTACCATTTTGTACAGTATAATCTTCACCCAGTGATTCTCAGGTATTTTTGCAGAGACCCAAACTTCCAAACCAGTCCCCCACATATAATTATATATTTATTTATCTTCTTTAACCATTTACATGGTCTCTCTTTAGTTTTTCTTGCTTATCAGTAATCTCTTTCTCAATATTATTGTTATATTCTGGAGCCTATTCAGGGATATGACATTTTTCAGGTGCATTTCCTTCCATGTTCTTTTTCCCTCTGGGTCTGTACGGCAAAACCAACCGAAAGGCATGAGAAGCCCTCTGCTGTAATCCTGCAACGAGAATCACACCCTGCAGATGTATACCATGACAACAACAGAGAAGGGAATAGCATAAGGTGTACCCAGAGACTGATATATGTAGTATATCCTGCCAGAGTATTAGATGACGGTGGTAGTTGTTGGGCGTGCTTCTCACAGTTGTGTGGGTGGCAGTACGGCAGCGTGAACACAGGTCCTTCCTCGAGTGCGTGCTACGTGTTCGCCAGTGTACAAACTTGTAGGTACTAGTCCATCATATAAAGGATGAGGGGAAAATGTTGACCTGCCCACCTCTATTCATTTTCTAGGAGATGATCTGAGCATTTCTTGAAGGAAATAACTTTCTAGAAAGTATAATAAATTAAAACATATTCCCTTTTATATACAGTAAATAGTGAGTCGTACCGAAAGTCCTCTAAAAAATGTTACGTTCTCTTAGCGAAATGATTTCTGGTCAGAGCAGGAGCTGCCCTTCAGACGTGCCCAGTAAGTCAGTGAAAACATAGGTTGTGTAGCAAGTATCTTTTCCAGAAGACATATTTTCTAAATGTTTGTTAAAGTTCAAGTGTACAAATTTAGCCTCTATTTTAAAGGCAGTGTGTTTTCACTGATTTTTGGTACATCAGGTTTTATAATGCAAAATAGAAGTTTGTGCATACTGATGTGACACCATCATGAATTATGAGTTTTTGGTAATTTGAGTAACCAGTGTTTATATTCCAGCTCTAAATACTGGAAGTGAGCATCAACAGCCAGTTACCAAAGTCTAATAATTGATGGTTCAATCACAGTTAATGATAAAAATGGGCATCAAAGCATTTTACTACTTTACTTCTGTCTGATATTTCTTGAAGTTAAATCGATAGTTACATACGATAATATGAAATCTTTATATTTTGGATTAGTTTTAAAATTTGCAACATGATATTTTAGAAATGATCTTCTTGAGTAAGTTTGGCAATGCGACTCATTTTTTGCAAATCATTGCACGAGTAAAGTTGAATTAGTGTGAGGCTGATTTCAACAACAGATTATTTACAAATCCTACCTAAGGAGTAAGTTGCTGCTGCACACTTATTATTTTTAAAGACAATATCCATTTTATGAAAGTCTAATTTTTATTTTCTTAATGTACTTAATTTATATTAGTTTTATAATATTATATCAAAGTTGTTATTTTGTACATTACATATATTTGCAGCAAGTTGCAAAAAAATTCTTTGACATACGATTCTTTTCATTAATTCAACCAGGTATTTCTGGTGATTGGAATTTAAAGTATTTTGTCTCTATCTCTCTCTTTCTCACTCTGTACCTGTCATCCTATTTTCACCAAACATGCTTTGATTGCCCGGTAAAGGATAAAACCTGCGGCTCGGATGAAAACGTCTGCAAACTCGTGGTTCCGGGTAAGGTTTTATATAATGCGATTGTAATTGAACTGTGGACTCTCGGTGCTGCCGATTCTGCATTGCATTCATCTGAGCCACGGGTGAAGTCTTAAAACAAACTTTTTGTGACCCCAGACAGTGCCGCACCGCCACCACGACAGTGTCTTGCATCACCTCGCATTGTTTCATCGAATGCACCCCAGCCACCTTTGAGATCTTGATACAAAAGGGCTGTATTTATCATCAGGACTCTTAGATCAGTATTCCTTCATTATGTATTTTGTAAAGCTCTGCCTATTATGGCTATACTTGATGTATTGTAATCTTATTATTCCTTGTAAATATTTTCCAGAGGCTGTTTTTATGCAAGCTATATGACATTTATGTCTGTTTCTACCACCAACAAACTGTGGTACCTAAGGTAATGAAGGTAATGATGTCCCAAGTCTGCCTCACTAGCAATCTGTTGAACAGCCTGAGTGAAATGAACAAGAGACAAAGGTTGCTGAGGTGTAAAGTGTCATGCCTCAGAAGTGGCACAACATACAGTTGAGGAGGTGGCTCTGTCATACTTACCGAGTACTGTACAGGTAGCCATACCTTAACTATGCTGTGTCTTGTTGGCTGGTCACTTACCTAGTGTAAGAAATGAGAATTGCAAGTATGCAGGATGTAGCTTGAAGGGCACAGGAAACGTGAATTCATAGGAAGTAGCTCTAAGGGTACAGGGAAAGGATTGTATTCTAGGGCGTAGGTTTAGGGGGAGGGCTCTTAATGCCACCAAGCCAAAAAAGGAAGAAGCAGGAAGGTGGGTGCGGCACAATGACCCCCTGGCCACACCTGTGACCGGATGATCTCAGCCGAAGTACTTAGGTCACAAAGTCAATTGCTTTGTATCATGTCATCCACCAGCTGACATGCCATCCTTGCAGATATGTACATATTGTTGTCATTTCAAATGCAATAAAATAGTTTCGGTCATATGGGCCTCTTTTTATTCTTTACACCTTTTAACTTTGGTTATGTGTTCGTCTATTACAGACTTGTTGTAATCATTGGAATTTATTCCACATTTTTTGAAGAATTGTAATCGATTTCATTATCTTGGGGACAAAGGAATCCTAATCGATTCTAAGGTAAAAAGAATCAAACTTGTGCTTACATTCCATGTTTACAAAATATAAAACTGACATTGTGGAGAACAAAGGTAAGTTTTCCCGAGTCCAAACTATGTATCGGGCATGGACACGCACTATTTGCACACCCTCGGAATGTTTCCGGGTGCTGGGAAAGTTTTCCGCGAGTCCAAACTACGCGTCTCGCACGGACAGACGGCGAGCTGTATTTATGTACGCAAACACCACAATACACGTAAAATACATTATATGAAGGAATACAATATACTGTACTGTATTCACCAACATGCTGTCACCTTGAGCTTGTGATGCAGGCAGGCAGGCATTGCGTCTTATTAACTCTCCTCCTTTAGTTGACAATTTTTCTTCCCTTTCTCTTTGCTGCAATGTTGCTTCACTCTCGTTTACAGGTACTTTAACTGGCAATGTTTGGTTCATTTGGCATCCTGTGTGCCGTCGGCAAGGTCATGGGCTCGTAACACATGTCTTGCCCACGGTGCCCACCATTTCTCTGTGGGTGTCCGTCACACTAGAATACCCGTTATAGTACCTCCTTTCCGCACACAGCCAAACTGTGGAATGCTCTGCCTTTGTGTTTCCATACTTTTACAATCCGTCTTGCTTTAAAAAGCTTCTTTTCTGGCATCTTTGTGGTGTAGATTAACACAGTATAACTGTTTTCTTTATATTCAATTTATTTGTTATTTCCCCCCCTTCAGTGGGTTGTTTCACCTGTGCCCGGGTGAGCTAATTCCCGAAAAAAAAAGTACCCAACACCGGCACATTGTTACATCTTGTTGAAGAAAAATAATACTGTAGTGTGTGTGGGGTCGATCAAGATAGGTAACAGTGAGTCAGAATACGATGTTGACTTGTGTTTTCCTCTTCCCTCTATATCGGTAGTCAACAACACAAGCTTTTTACCAACATACTGTAATTCCAGACGAAAAATTATAAAAGTTTATAGGTGTCTATCAAAATATTTATAAATGATTGCCTGCAGTTGGGCAATAGCCATTATCCCTAACGACCAACAATAACGGGAAAAGGTAAAGTGATTCTATAATATCGTCCTGTACTTTAAGAATCACCAAACTCTAAGCATGAATAAAGGAAAATGTAGAAAAAGGTATAAACATGTGCAAGAAAAATAATGCAAATTGTCCTGATGAAACGACGATACAATATAACCCGGCTGTCAACCTTCTAGACCAGCGGTTCTTGGGGGGCGAACCCATAGCAGAAATAAGGAATAGCGTGTATGTCTTTATTAGGATTTTCGTGGGGGGTTCACGCACCTCATAGCTATTTCAAAATGTCCTAAATAATAACTACGTTAATCCAAACGTAAATTTCCACTAAAAGTGACTGAATTAAGGTAGTAATAATGTTGGATGTGTACGATAATTCACATTTGTCAACACGTCACACTGACAGTCTGACGCCGGCGGTGTCAAGGGACTCGTCTGCGACCTCCGCCCGTGATATCCTTCTACATCTCACAAATTTCTTTCTTCAATTGAGGTATGTTGTAGCATAGACTAATTATTAACGAAACCATAATAATTACTTATATAAATAGAAAAGAATTCCAATTGTTAAGTTTTTATAACGAGAATGAAATTTGCCAACTAAAAATGGATTGTAAACAGGCGTAGTATACTTTGAGTGATGTTTATGGCCATGTGGTGGTGTTTATGATCACGGTTTTAGAATTTTATATGAAGGAAGTAAAGGGGCGTGGAGTGGAGGACCAACTGCTATAAGGGACGCGACCCTAAAAAGGTGAACCACTGAGTGGTTCACCTTTTTAGGGTCTAGAACATTGGCACTGTTCTAGACTTTACAAAATGAAACACTGGCCATTATATACAAGTCTGATGTTTAGTTGCATAAAATGTTGTACACTAGCTCGAGACAATTGTATAGGCCTGAGCATTAATGAGTTAGGCTACGATGTTTAGGATTTGAGTTTTTATAAAATAGTTATCAAATTATATTAAAATAATTTAGTAATGTCCCCACAAAGGAATAGAGTATTCAATAGACGGTAGTGATATAATTAGATATTTATTCAGTAAAAATAGTCAGACACGTTCCCAATGATATACAATATACATACTATTATTGTACACGCGAGCCTACTGCAGACCGTGTACAGTAGGCTGGTGGTGGGTTTGCAGTGGATTCCTCCCCTACAAACGCGGTTTGTCGCCGACCCCGCGAATTCCCCAGTGTATGCCTCGTGGTCTAGGTCAACCAGCGCCGCCTTACATGACGGAGGTCAAATATTACACCACGCCAACCTCCGCTATGTAAGACCTGACTTCGTGGTGACCTCCCTCTCATACTACCTACACCACCACCTCCGCTCCCGCCTGGCGGCCCACAATCTTATCATCCTCTGAGCGCCATCCAGCTCTCTACATCTTGCTTGTAACCACGCTGCCACTTCCCAGCACCAAGCTGTACTGTACATCCAATACAAGGCTCGAGATTCCATTTGTACATCGAGTTAGGTGGGGAGCTTCAGGTGGATGAAAGCTTCAGTTCACACATTGCTTGACAAAGCTATGAGTAAGTATTGTGCTAGATGGTCGAAAGGCGTCTTAAAGCCGATTAAAGGATCATCTAGAAACAAGGGTAATCCCCACGATCTTAAGTAAACATTAATTATTTAAGCTGGTAAATTGTATACCAGATATTTGAGAGGGAAATACCGAGCCAAATCTCAAATTCGTTTAAGACGCCCCCAGAAAACGGTTATTAAAAAAATAAAAACCGGGGTTAAGGTCATAACCAAGTTTATTGTAGTAGTACGTTTATCATATATCTAAACTTAAACAAATCAGTTTGCGCTCTGCCGAATCTTCACCACTCCAGCCGGGATCATCCTCAGCTGCCAACATAAGCGAGGTATGTAGATTACTGTACCTCGATGAAGCTGGATTTAACCACTTTCACCGAGGGCTAGACTCAATTCATCCCGCCGCCGTAACCTTGCCAGTACTTACTCCATGTAGATCTCGTATATCTGGAACAAACAAGTAATCAGATTAAATATAGAAATGAACTTGGAATCAAACTCAATCACACATAAACAATTCACCAGTTACACTAATATATAACCAAGTTACATCAAATATAAATAATTCTTAAACAAAACTTATTTTCAACCAACACGAAAAATAATAACAGCAGCTGAAGAATGACGAGATGTATATGCTTGTGTTCTGTGACAATACTTCCTTTGAGGTTATGAGCAGTACTGACCTCCCGTGGCAGCTTTCAGAGCAGGGTTGCCAACTCGGATTTTCAAATGTCGCTAGGCTGGTACCTAAAAGTAGCTAAATGTCGCTAAATCTTCCATGGAAAGTCGCTAGCTATTATTCCCCCCTTCAGTAATTTGATGCAAATAATATTTTCATAATGCCGACTATAATGGACGGAGTATAAATAAAATGCATTATGTAAAAATAAAAATATTATTTTTTTTAAAGTTTAATGTGCACACTTACCTATTATTCAATAGTAATTGCATCCCAGTCCTCTTTGTAGTCGTCGGCAGTGTGAACAACTGTAGAGCTGGAAGCATGTGAAGTGCTTGGTTCAGGTTCTCTTGTAACTGTATGCCTCCACAGTCCCTATCTTTCTTAAAATATCACTAGGAAGTTCATAACTTGCACAACAGGTGTTCTGTCTTTTTAACCCATACTTTATTGTAAGAATTGCTTTTAATGTCGATAGTTTCATTTTGTTGCGCAATTTTGATTTCACAAAGTTCATATTACTAAATGTGCGCTCTACATCTGCGTTTGAATGCGGAAGAGATAAGGCAGGGAGTGCAATTTCAGCCAGACTGGGGTGCGGTCAAAAGCGGAGTTCCCCAGGGATCTGTATTAGGCCCTCTGCTGTTTGTTATATTCATTAATGATCTTGATTTAGGCATAACTAGTAGGATTAGTAAATTTGCAGATGATACCAAAATGGGGAGAGTGATAAATTCAGACAGTGACTTTGAACACCTTCAAAGAGATCTTGATACCTTACATGAGTGGTCAGTAGACTGGCAAATGAGATTTTAAGTATAAACTAGGTAACACGGAAATAGAAAACTCAGTTTGTGAAAAAGATCTAGGTGTATTTGTTAGCAACGACTTGAAACCTAGAAAACAATGTATTAGCGTTCGCAACAAGGCAAACAGGATTCTTGGGTTCATATCTAGATCTGTGAGTAACAGAACTGCTGACGTTATCTTGAAACTTTACCTAGCATTAGTGAGGCCACACATGGATTATGCGGTTCAGTTCTGGTGTCCTTATTATAGAATGGACATAGATTCTTTGGAGAGTACAAGAGAAGAATGACAAAAATGATCCATAATATTAGAAACCTTCCATATGAAGAAAGACTGAAAAGCAGGCTTACATTCATTAGAGAGGCGTAGAGTTAGGGAGATATGATGGGGTGTACAAGTGGGTAAGTGGGATTAACAAGGGTAAAATGGAAGATGTTCTGAAGCTCAGTAATAACGAAATAACTAGAACAAATGGCTTTAAATTAGATAAATTCCGATTCAGAAAGGATATAGGCACTGGTTTGGTAATAGAGTTGTGGATATGTGGAATAGGCTACCGAGTGCTATAGTAGGATCGGGGACGCTAGGGAGCTTCAAGACGAAGTTGGATAGGCACATGGAAGTGCTGGGATGGGTGTGAAAGGGATCTGACCTGTATGGGCCAGTCGGCCTCCTGCAGTATCCCACTTTCTTATGTTCTTATGTTATGTTCTTAAGGGTTTTCACCTGTCGCATCTCTGTAATTTGCCACTTCTGACCACAATTT